TGGAAGGTGTCCCTGCCCAGGGCAGGGGGTGGAATGAGATGGTTTTTAAGGTCCCTTCCAACCCAGGCCATTCCATGACTACATGAGTGCAGGGCAGTGAGGCAGTGCTGTGCCTGGGCTGTTGGACTCCAGCAGACCTTGCAGTCAGGATTTACTCCTGGTCCTTCCCAGGGTGCTGGCAAAAACACTGCACCCTCCTTCCCTGAGGCTCAGGGCTGGAAGTCGCTGACCTCGACTAACAGAAGCAGCAGTGTCTCCTGTTTACCCTCACATTTCACCTCCCTTTGCTCACTCAGCCCATGAGGGAAATGTGTGGAGCTTTCCAAGAGGGATCCTTCCAGCCAGGGATCCCATCTCTCTTGGGAGCCCAGGGCTGACTGAAGGACAGAGCCCACAGCAGACACCAGCACTTCCCACCACGCCTTCCCAGTCTGCAAATCCCTGTGAAAAGACAAACCATTTCCCAGCCAAGCTTCCCAAACCACATCCCAGCCCTTCCCAACCCCAGCCAGGCAGAGGAACACACTGGACCCACACCTAAACCACATCCCTTTGATCTCAAGGACAACAGGAGCCTCAGAGGACTGTCTGACACAGCCCCAAGGGCCAGGTGATGGATGGGGTGTGCTTCCTCCCTGCAGTTCCCTTACCACAGTGCTCTTCCAGCCCAGATCCTGGTCACACCATGCATGGCACCCTCTGGGACACATCCCATTGGTCACCACTGGAGCGAGAGCCCCATCTGTGACCTTCCCAACACACCACCAGTGACCTGAACTGCTCCCTCGTTACCTTCTCTTGCTCTCCTGATCGTTCCCAAAGGTCTGCTCCTCCTCCTCCTCCTCTTCCACAGCCCTTTTCCTGCTCTCCCTGATGGCACTCAGCACAGTCTCCTTGGCACACGGGTCAGGGCTGCTGGTGGCTTGGAAGGCCAGGGGTGAGGCCAGCTGCTCCAGGCTGGGGGGCAGAGCAGAGCACACTGTTAGGCTAGCTGAGATCACTGCTCAGAATTCCCCCACGGAAAGGGGGACATGGTTCTTCTGGAGGTTTAGATCACACCATCCTCCCAGCCATGCGGCAGCACTCAGGATGGGATGGTACTCCCAGGGCTGATAATGCGGCTTCCCCCAGTGTGTCTCGATATCCCCTGTGGCTAATAAGGGGGTTCCCCCCGATGTGTCCAGTATTCCTGTGGTTATAAGTGGGCTTCCCCTCGTGTGTCCCTGCAGTACCCCCTGTGATTCCCTCCAGTGTGTCCCGGTCCCCCCCGTGGCTGATAACCGGGCTCCTCGCGGTGTGTCCCCGTCCTCTCTGTGATTCCTCGGTGTGTCCCGGAATCCCCCTCTGTGATTCCCCGGTGTGTCCCGGAATCCCCCTCTGATCCTCCCGGTGTATCCCAGTCCCCCGGAACT